TGTTGTACATTCACCATTTTTTTTTTTTTAAAAAGAACTAAACTACGAAATGTATAAGGTGTCCCACAAATACCTAACACTGCTTCAGACAAATCAGATAAAATCAACCTGACCTTAGTGAACGTTTTCTAGTTTTCGAGATATTGCCACTTTTCAGTTTTTTCAAAAAATCACTACTTTTTGCTCCTTTTTTGCCTGTTAAAGCTATAAAGAACGTCTCTGGGCTACCATTAATTGTTGATTGAGACAACCGAGTATTCATTTCATTAAAAACTAGCACGGTATGCTAAAAAAAACATTACATTTTGTTCCAATGCGAAAACCTTTACTAAAGTTTTTTCAAAAAATCGCTACCTTTTGCTTCTTTTCGTCTGTTATGGTTATAAGGAACTTCCAACTTGTGATTTCTATCTCTCTCTTCTAGCAACAGCTATGCTGAATGACGTAAGCTGCAGCGTCAGCGTAGCTAGAGGCTGCCCTCAGGGCGGAGTTCTGTCACCCCTACTGTGGTGCATCGTGGTGAACGAACGATAGTACGTCCATCTCTCTTGTACGGTTCCCTGGTCTGGTGGCCTTGCATTAAAACTGACAACGCCATTGAGTGCAATGGAAGCTCTGTTGGATCTCCCACCGTTGGATCTGGTGATCCGCGGTGAAGCGAGAGTAGTCGCTCATCGACTGTGGAGTCAGGGCAGCTGGGCTTTCTTAAATCCTGTCAAGGGGCATACTGCCATCTTAGCCGCTTAAGCTGCCTATGCACTGGCTCCTTATGGTGGCCGGAATGCCTCTAATTTCAAGATTAATTAATTAATTCATTCATTCATTCCTGAGCTATGATTAACGGTTGGTCGAGACAACCGAGTATTTATTTCATGGAAAACTAGCACGGGTTGCTGAAAAACTAAATTATTACATTTGCTTTCAATGCGAGAACCTTCTCTAAGGTTTGACTAATTAGTGAAATAAATGTACCAAAGTGAATCAGCAAATGACCTTGAAAACTGGTTAGTTAATGCTATTAAAAAATAACGTTCAAGGTTATTTTTACTGAAAACTGAATAATTACAACTTTTGTCATTGAAGTCATAACACTTGGGATCGAAATACTACAAATAAGAAATAATAAGTTCTGCTGTCTTTTGGGTCCAAATTACAACTTTTTAGTTGCCATAATAACTTTTTATTTTAGCAAATGTCCATTATCCATTTTTATTCATTGTTGTATGCAGGCATCAAAATAAACAGAACATTAGGTACATTAGGTTTTATTTTTATATTTCCATTGATTTTTACAACATTCAGATCAAAGAAAGAGTTGGGAGTCTTTATTAACATATTAAATTAACTAAATAAGAATTAAATTAACATCTTGTAATGTAAATATTGCCTGAAATAAATTATTGTTATAATTATTATTATTCTTTTCACAACAGATTTTCAAAATGTCAACCATCGACTCTTATACACAAGCTGCATCTTCTTGAAAATAGTATTTTTAAACGTCTCAAACTTAAATCAGATATTCCGCGTGCTGCTTGACGAATTCGATGACGCAGTTTATCGCCTGATCGGACTGGTGTTCCTTAAACCATTTCTTTTATATACTAAGTGACATATAAATCCGAACACCCAGTTTAAATGGTTTTATTTTAATAAAAGTTGGTGAATGTATTTATCTTACTGTAAATAACAAGTGAAAAAATTTTCAGCCTTATCAGTTGGACATTCCGGTTTTTATATTGCTTTTTTTTAATTCACTAACGCTCTAAAAATGAATATTTCAGCCGCAGTAAAGAATCAACGTTGGCGAATTTTGGTTCTTGACATCCTTTACGATCGGTTACGATGCCTAGAGTACGGAGACCTGTACGATTTCGTCAACTTAGTGAGTTTGATAGGGGCCGTATAGTGCGACTTCGGGAAGCTGGACTTTCTTTTCGGGCAACTGCAGTTAGAGTGCAAAGAAGTGTAGACACTGTGGTTAGGTGTTGTCAGGCATGGCTTCGAGAAGGCCGTACGCAAAGAGCAAGGGGCACTGGACACCGCCGTAGAAAAACAGACCGTGAAGATCGCCGCCTAAGGTTATTGGCCTTAAGGGACCGTTTCTCCACTACCAGGTCCATTGCAAATGAATGGTTTGCAGAACACGGAAGACCTATTGGCATGCGAAGTGTTTACCGACGAATGAGAAGTTTTGGCTTGTTTTCATACCGGCCACACTGGGTCCTCCCTTTAACTCGAGAACACCGACGTAATCGCCTTGAGTGGTGCAGACAACGGTCACTCTGGGATCAGGAATAGAACAGTATTGTCTTTAGTGACGAGTCTCGATTTTGTTTAGGCATGCAGGGTTAGAAGGCGACGTGGTGAAAGGAGGAATCCACAGTTTTTTGTTGAAAGACATGTTCATCACACTGTTGATGTTATGGTTTGGGGTGCTATAGCTTATGGTTCCAGGTCACCTTTAATCTTCATCAGAGGAAACATGAACGCGCAGCGTTATATCCACGAAGTTCTAGAACCCCATCTTTTACCCTATCTTGACACCCTGGCAGATCCAACTTTCCAACAAGATAATGCCCGACCACATGTTGCAAAAGTCACAATAGACTTCTTTCAACATAATGATGTCACATTGTTACCATGGCCACCAAGATCTCCCGACTTATCCCCAATTGAGCACGTGTGGGATATGATGGGTAGGAGATTGCTCAATTTGCAACGTCCTCCTCAGACTCTAGAAGCACTTCGAGAGGAGTTGGTGGTTGCCTGGAATGAGATACCACAGGAGGACATTGACCACCTGATCAGAAGCATGCCTAGGCGCGTTGGAGAATGCGTAGCACATCAGGGTGCATCCACACATTATTAAAGGTCAAAGGGCTTTAAAGCAGTGCAATCATTTTGAAATTTTTATCATTTACTTATTATGCTTCATTAAGTACTTATACAAAATTTTATTAAAATAAAACCATTTAAACTGGGTGTTCGGATTTATATGTCACTCAGTATACATCCCCAGTAAAAAATCCAGAGGATGCAGATCAGAGGAGTGTGGCGACCAACAAATTAGTACTAGTCAGCCAATCCATCTTTTAGGTAATGTTTGATCAAGATATCCCTTACTGCATTAGCATAGTGTGCAGGACACCCATCATTCTGTAACCACATCCTTCTTATTGTGTCAAGAGGCACATCTTCCAAAAGAATGGGTAGATGTTGTTGCAAATAATCTAAGTACACTAAAGCTTTTAAGATCATTTATCAAACTTTAGTAAAGGTTTTCGCATTGGAACAACACTTGAGTTGGCCCACTTCAAGATTTGTACCAAAATATGCCTTTATAAACTAAACACGACGAAACTATTTACTTCTAAAACAATTTATTTTCTCAAAAACATTTTAGATACACTCTAGTCGTAAAAAATACATATTTGAAATTACTTAGACCTATAACTATAGAACATCTGAACAAATAAACAATGTGCGAATAAATTCTTTGGGGCATAGTGTTAACCAAGTTTTGGCAAAAATTTGGTGTAAAACAATATCATATTTCTTGACGGTTTTGCCTCAGTTCGGTGATTGTACGAGCAGGATGTTGTCGTAGAACCTTTTTCATCTCGTGCCACAAAGTTTCAATAGGTGACAGATCTGGACTGCTAGAAACCCATTTCAAAAGTGGTACATTATTTTCTTGCATCCATTTTATAGCCTTTTTTGAGGTATGGCATGCTGCACCATCTTGCTGAAACACAAAATCTTGGTCGGATGTCAACCATTCTTCCATCACTGGTAAAAGCGATTCTTCTAAAATTGCCAAATATTTGTTTGTATCCACATTTCCATCAATAAAATGAAGTTTTCCTACTCCTTTTGATGACATACTGCCCCAGACCATAATGGATGCTGGGAATTTCACTTTTCTCTTCAGACAGTCAACATGGAATGCTTAATTTTTTTTTCGAATAACTCTACTGCGACTGTCACCAACACAAATTTCGAATCGGGCCTCATCACTCCATTGTATTGCACACCATTGTTGTCCATTGTCTATGTTCTTTAGCCCATTTAAGCCGATTTTTCTTTTGCAGTGGAGTTAATAGTGGCTTTTCTTTGGCCTATAAACAAGTTGTGCAACTTTAGGGTTTTTACTTCACTTTTTTTTATAAGAAAACTTACCTTGCAAGTGCTAAATCAAAGTTTGTGGGCCTCTCTATGAGTTGTGGACCTCGAAATTCTCCTTCTAACAGCGTCATTCTACAGAGCACTTAGGTAATTGTAAATAATTGGCACGCCTGTTTTTCACGATTATTCTTCGTAATGCTCTTCGGTCGGCATTTGTGATATCACTTTTTTTTACATATCGTGGCTTAATATTAACTGAACCAGTTACGTTATATCTTCTAACAATATTTCTCACACTGTACCGCGATAAGTCTAACAAAGTTGCAATTTCTGAGTTTGATTTCCCATAATTAAAAAACTTAATTATCAGTAACCGAATTTTCTCACTAATAACCTTTCCTCTATCCATTTTGAAAATTTTAATTAGCCAAAACTATTTTAAACATATTCTGACAGCAGTGATTAATAAAAACAATTGTCATGGCTTTTATTTTTCGCAGCCACCTATGCGTAAGTCTATATAATATAATTTTGCATTGAAATGAAAATAGGTTGATATGCTGTAATTGCAACATTTTTATGCTGCAAATTTGATTAGGGAGTGATAAAGTTGGTGTTTTCTACTATATATTATCAAAATATTCATTGTTAATATTTACCTATAAAACCCTGCTACATTTTTATTATTTGTCTTTGATAAGAAAAAAACTAAGATTTCAATAGTTGGTCCAACTGAATTGGGAAGGGGCTCGTATGTGCTACGATTTGGAAGAAATTTTATCTTCAATTGTCGCGTTAGTTCCATCCTTCTTAAAACACACCTGATCCATGTTTCCGTTTTTCCTCATTCTATTTTTGCTTCCTACTTACAGACTTAGTTGCAGAAGAAATTGCATGGAACAGGTGGACAGACAACGAGAACATTTCTTCCATTTGAGCAGCAACAGTAACAACAGCTCTGTACGAAGTAGCGTTGCTAATAATGTTACTACTGTTATCCACTTGAACAATGTAGTCAACAACACGAACGTCATCGATGTGCCGATAACACTGGAATCCAAGAACATACAAAATGTCTCCTTACATGAAGTGGAACAACAGGTACAATTTGAAATATTTGAAGTTTGACCGGTTTAAGTAGTAATTATTATTTAGTTCTATTCTTCAAAATTAATAGAGGCTCAAAATATTAAGACATCGTAAATTGGAATTTTTTGGATCATGCTGAAAGATTTATCTGGCAATACACAAAATTTTTCAGGAACTAGAAAACATACAAAGATGAAGACATGGAATGTTCGTTTTAGTTACTGTCCAAAAAGAATAAAACAGTAGCTTCAAATGAAGTTAAAAACACGACATCTCTTGGTAAATGTAACATCTGGAACTGCGGTTTTTTATGTCGATGATCTCCCATATTTCATTGGCCAATCGAAAACATATGTATTGAAAAAAGATCTTCTCTATTGTAAACGTTTTGGTCACAACGGTGACCTTCTTCAGTGAAACGACTTTGACAGTACATTTTATTTATCTGTCTTCCAGTTGACACTTCGTTTGTTTATTCCTTTCATTTTTATATTTCTATACAGTATGTTATTACAATAGTGTGAAATGTGTCCCATAACATGCTGAGATTTCGCGAAACTTTAAGACCGCACCACGCAAAACCAGCATAGGGCACGACTACTTGGGGGTGAACGTTCCTGCTGCCAAAAAAGGAGGTCCACCCTCCAAAACGACAAGCAAGCATCTGTCGTTTTTTTAAATGTATCAGATATGCCACCCTCGTTCATCGTCCCAAAAACTCCAAAGGCATTAAAAAAATGAATAACTTTTAAATACAAGCTATTCCATCCCGAGATTGCAATGCGATGACACACTTCAAGGAAGTAGAGAGCTATGAATAATACTGTGGAAGAACACGAGAACGGGATGTAAAAGGTGGGCGATTTTTATTATTTGAACCAATTTGCGCACTATACATATTTTAACCTACAGATAGTGAGCAATAAGGTTTATTCCAGGCAGAAACAGGAGACAAGCAAACCCCTGGAAGACCAATCAGCGTACCAGCTCATGAAGAACACAAAATAATATCTGGATCAGCGCCAGCAGTTGATAGCATGGGGCAAAAAACATGCTGCATCGTAGTTGGTCCTAAACAGTGCACCAATAACTACCCAGGCTACGGTCCTCCTAAGTGTTTTCATTTGCGTTCAAAGCAATGCGGGGATTTCTGTATTACAAATATAGTTCACCGAGAGGAGCATCAGGTAGGTGAATTTTTATATCTATTTGTATAGCGATCGATTTTTCTGCTCAGCCTAGAATATATCTTATATGTTGCCTGACAAATGATAGGTTAACACCGTGTTTCAGAATTCTCCCACATACCCAGTACGGCTCTACGTTTTTTCCAGATAGGATATTTTTGAAAAGGGCGAAGCTCGGATTTTTACTAACTTTGAACAAGGAGTTCAATGATGACCTTGAGCCTTCCCCTTATTTCGGCCTCAATAATAGTTTTTTACCTGAAAAGCCCGCTCGCTTTATGTTTTTTGTCAGGAAAAGAATACTTGACTGACACAGTAACAACTACATATACGTACCTTTTACGCACTTTTCAGTTTTGCTGTCAACATAATGATATCTTGCCTGGAAAAATGCCGGAATTCTAAAAAACCATATTTTGACCAATTCTTCCAATTTTTGACATTTTCAGAGCAGAATATCATAACCTCGCTGATTCAAACACTCAATCTACGTATATGTGCATAGTAGGTTATTGGGATAACCAAGCAATTTCTTCACTGGCCTAAAATGTCAAACATTATATAAATAGGACTGCGAATCACAATTTTGTCGATGGAACTCGAAAGAACGCGAAAAAACACATATGCAGTGAGCCTAGTTATAATGTCCTCCTTGTTAGCCAAGCATTTCTTTCCTGACCTAAGACGTTAAAAATTGAAGAAAATCAGCGAAAATGCGGTAACTTTCCGGGCAATAAATAACTCTAACAATGAAACCTGAAATAATTCACAAAAATATATACGCGCATTGAGAATTCTAGTTATCAAGTTACGATATCCTACTATAAAAATACCTAAAATTGGAAAAATCGGTGAAAATGCGGTTTTTCAAATTTCTGCCAATTTTCCGGTCAAGGAATGATTACCCTAACAATGGAACTTAAGAGATATTAGGGGAGCATATAATACAATAGGTTACTAGGTTAGCCAACTATTCATTCCCTAACCAAAAGCGCCAAAAATTGAAGAAAATCATCGAAAACGCGGTTTTTCCTATTTTTCCCAAAAAAAATATTTTTTTGATTGTAGAAGCCACAAGAATGAACAATAAAACAAATATACCATTTTTGATAATTTTCCGGGTGAAAATTCATGATTTTGTCGGTATATCTGCGAGGAACGCAAGAAAGCACGTATATCCCATCCATGTGTGGACCGAATATTACTCATAAACAAATACATTTTGGGAAAATCTATTTATACCATGTTATACATGATATTTGATATAAGGGTATCAATTTTGACCTACATATCAAAGTTGTGATTTTCTAAATGGAATGCCTCAAATTTTATTGCATATTTGGATGAACCAATCCAAAAGAAGAAGATTGATATAACATACTATGGAGTTTGGTAATTAGCTACTGAGATGTAAGGTGTTTTGTCCAGAAAAACCGACCACTTCGGCAACCCCTCAATCCGCCATGTTAAAATTTGGAGTGCTGAATTTTCTATAAAAAAAAATTTACACATCTCAGCTTTTATCTTATTTGTTACATTTTCGAATTTTCATTTTTGCTCCTACAGTATGATTAAAAACGCAATTGCACTTTTTCTCAAAAAATTCAAAAGCATCACCCTGTATATTTGTATAAGGTTGGATTCAATTAATTATAAGCTTTTTTTGTATAAGGTTTGATTCAAATAAAATCACTTGATTTTGAGTTATTAAGCTTCTAATAGAACAACACACCAAAATTAAACAGCGGGCTAGTTCCATATTGCCACTAAGATTACAGATTTGACGTAAAAACTAATAACAACCAGAACAGTATATATCAGCTTCAAGCGTAATAGAGAAAAACAACTATAACAACAACCTAAACAAACAACTATCACTACTCAAGACCTAATCTACAAAAACTGCTCGAAAATATCTCCACCATGTTGAATACGCAGTCTTTGGATAAATGATACAAAATTCAGCACTCCAAATTTCAAAATGGCGGACTGAGGAGTTGCCGAAGTGGTTTCTAGACAAAACACCTTATATCTCAGTAGCTAGTTACGAAAACCCCATAGTATGTGATATAAATTTTCTTCTTTTGAATTGGTTTATACAAATATGCAATAAAATTTGAGGCATTCAATTTGAAAAATCACAACCTTGATATGTAGGTCGGTAATGGGACACCCTGTATAATTGCCACTATTTTAAAAATGTGCCCTCAAACGTCATATATTACATCCCATGAATAGTTTTTCCCAAAATGTATTTGTTTAAGAGTAATATTCCGTCCACGCATGGATGGGCCACCCTGTACAGTGGATTTTTTAGTTTGCGAAAAAAAAAACTTGAGCATTTTCGGATAGACTTTTCGTAGAGGTTAAACATCGGGGGTTAGGGGTTGCAGTGGAAGGGTATATCTCAATTTTGGACGTTGGTATATTTATACGCACCAAACCCCAGTAAATCTACGTACATATTAGGCATATTTCACTCATGATAGATGTTCCCGTACATTTCCCCCTAAAAACGATATTTCCACAGCCCATACGCGCGCCGTAGTTCTCGGGATGGACGAGAGTCGTCGTCGGTGGTCGTACGTCACAGTCGGCAATCGCTTTCGCTCTGAGGTGATGCTGTGTGAACTGTGCATGGTGAAGGCCAGTATCGTCATTTATGCGGGATTGGTCATCGCAACGATCATGTGCGCCTGCAGCAAATACATGTTCGTAGCTTACACCAAACATAATCCTTTACGAATTAATGACGGCGTAGCGTGGGAAGTACAGTGGCAACGTGCTTGACGCTATTTTTTCTTAACGTTACGAAACGTCTCAAACGATGCTTTTTCTAAATTCAAATACAGTTGCTTACTGCCAATATGATAGAAGTGTGTGAGATAAGAAAACGGTAGAAATTGAGCGCAGAACGATAGACGAAATTTCAAAACGGTAGATCTGGCACAGCTGGGGTCGACTATGAATGTGGGCGTGAATGTTATCTCCGGAAAAAAAAGTATGAAACCTAAGTTTTTTCTTGATATTGCAGGTATGCGAGAGCCTCTACCCAGGCGCCCCCAACAACTGCAGGCAGCAAATAGTCTACATCCCTCAACCTCAACCTCGCTGTTCATACCAAGACGACTGGCCGTACGTGCGATGTGGTTTGCGACGATCACCTTCTTGTGCTGGGTGTTATTCGCACTATGTGAACAAAGACGCGAAGGATTATCTCTCATGTCCGCTTCAATGTTTCGATGAGTTTCCTCAAAACGCGCCATTCTATAGGCAGGGCCCGTTTTATCAACCGCAATATGGTTATGAATCATATAACAGGTACATGGTGTCCCGGTTTAAATTGAATCCTACTCTAGCTCTTGTATGACCTTTTAGAGAAATAAGTTTAATATAAAAGTTGAGTCTACTATATACTAAGTGACATATAAATCCGAACACCCAGTTTAAATGGTTGTATTTTAATAAAATTTTGTATAAGTACTTAATGAAACATAATAAGTAAATGATAAAAATTTCAAAATGATTGCACTGCTTTAAAGCCCTTTGACCTTTAATAATGTGTGGATGCACCCTGATGTGTTACGCATTCTCCAATGCGCCTAGGCATGCTTCTGACCAGGTGGTCAATGTCCTCCTGTGGTATCTCATTCCAGGCAACCACCAACTCCTCTCGAAGTGCTTCTAGAGTCTGAGGAGGACGTTGCAAATTGAGCAATCTCCTACCCATCATATCCCACACGTGCTCAATTGAGGATAAGTCGGGAGATCTTGGTGGCCATGGTAACAATGTGACATCATTATGTTGAAAGAAGTCTATTGTGACTCTTGCAACATGTGGTCGCGCATTATCTTGTTGGAATGTTGGATCTGCCAGGGTGTCAAGATAGGTTAAAAGATGGGGTTCTAGAACTTCGTAGATATAACGCTGCGCGTTCATGTTACCTCTGATGAAGATTAAAGGTGACCTGGAACCATAAGCTATAGCACCCCAAACCATAACTCCAACAGTGTGATGAACAGGTCTTTCAACAAAAAACTGTGGATTCCTCCTTTCAGCACGTCGCCTTCTAACCCTGGCATGACCATCGGGCATGCCTAAACAAAATCGAGACTCGTCACTAAAGACAATACTGTTCCATTCCTGATCCCAGAGTGACCGTTGTCTACACCACTCAAGGCGATTACGTCGGTGTTCTCGAGTTAAAGGGAGGACCCAGTGTGGCCGGTATGAAAACAAGCCAAAACTTCTCATTCGTCGGTAAACACTTCGCATGCCAATAGGTCTTCCGTGTTCTGCAAACCATTCATTTGCAATGGACCTGGTAATGGAGAAACGGTCCCTTAAGGCCAATAATCTTAGGCGGCGATCTTCACGGTCTGTTGTTCTACGGCGGCGTCCAGTGCCCCTTGCTCTTTGCGTACGGCCTTTTAGAAGCCATGCCTGACAACACCTAACTACAGTGTCTACACTTCTTTGCACTCTAACTGCAATTGCCCGAAAAGAAAGTCCAGCTTCCCGAAGTCCCACTATACGGCCCCTATCAAACTCACTAAGTTGACGAAATCGTACAGGTCTCCGTACTCTAGGCATCGTAACCGATCGTAAAGGATGTCAAGAATCAAAATCCGCCAACGTTGATTCTTTACTGCGGCTGAAATATTCATTTTTAGAGCGTTAGTGAATTAAAAAAAAGCAGTATAAAAACCGGAATGTCCAACTGATAAGGCTGAAAATTTTTTCACTTGTTATTTACAGTAAGATAAATACATTCACCAACTTTTATTAAAATAAAACCATTTAAACTGGGTGTTCGGATTTATATGTCACTTAGTATAATTTTTTTCATGAAATCTCGTTTTTACTACCTACGCCACTGGCGGCGCTTCTAGATTCACTACCGGTAGGGCGGGGAAAATGTCTCTGGACTAATTGTATGGACCTGTTTGGCTGACTTTTTTCTTAGCGGGTCTAGTTTCTGCTGAACATATTCCTTTATGTACTGATACGAGGGATGTCTTTTAAGTTTTGCATATGGAAATAAAACAACACGGTAGGTAGTTTTAAATGACTTTATATTGTTTTTCGAAGTATTCTTCACGAAGATTAATACACATCTGCATGCTCTCGCACCAATTTTCGAAGCACTTATTCCACTCGTTTGCTGGCAGTTCCAAAACGGCATTTTTGAATGCGTCAACTGCTTCTTCTGGTGACTGGAAAATCGTTAGGACTTAGATCGGGACCATATGAAGGATGGTCCAATAATTCCACGTTTTCATTCGTTAAATGCTGCCTTGTTTTTTGGGCTGTGTGCGAGCTTGCATTGTCTTGGTGGAGGATGATTCTTCTTTCGGGGTTGATTTTTCGAAGCTCGGTGATGACTTTTGCTAAACAAATGGTGGAATACCAATCCGCAGTAACATTTATTTGCTCATTAAGAGGAATTGTTGCAGTATGACCCGCTTTTGACGCAAATGTCGCGACCATCTTTTTCTAAACACTTCGAGAACGGATGACTTTTGTTGACTTTTCTTCACCTTGGAACACCCAAACAGCCGACTGTCGTTTATTTTCTGGTTCATAACAGTAAATCCACGAGTCATCACCACTAACAATTCTGTACACATTTTTTTAGTTTCCGGAATTGAAACGGTCAAGCGTTTTTTGACACCAATTAACCCTGGCTGCTTTCGGCTCTTCAATCAACAGGTGGGGTATCCAATGAGAAACTAATTTTCTCACTCCTAATTCTTCATATAAAATTTTTTAAATTGAGGTCTTTGTGATCTTCAAGCGATATGTCACACGTCTATCTTCAATGATGAGTTTGCGCACAGCATCGACGTTTTCCTGGGTGACTGCCGTTTTTGGTGCACCCACCCTGAAATAGTCGCTAAGACTCACCAGTCCACGTTTGAGTTCTCCATACCAACGGGAAATTGTCGACTGATGTGGCGCTTCGTTGCCGAAAACAGACAGTAACTCAGCAAGGCATTCTTGTTGCGATAATAATTGTCTCTGAAAGTTGTAATAAATTATGGCGCGAAAATGTTCTCGGTTGAGTACCATTTTTCTAATGACTTGGTGACACTTAAAAATTCACTGTAGTGAGAACACTGCACGTATTGTTGTGAAACTTTGAATTTAAGTTTACTAAAGAGTGAGGTTAAGACTCAGTACTGACGTTCGATCCGCGCGGCCTACTATGCTTCTTTATGCAAAACTTAAAAGACATCCCTCGTAAGGGCGTTGCGTGGGAATTGCAGAGTCAACCTACTTGACGCCATTTTTTTTCTATTTGTAATATTCTCGTTATTAACAATTTTTCTCTATGTCTAGGAACCCCTACAATCCATTGATGGGCGGACTCCTCTCCCCAAACTCACCTCCAGGAATGTTCTACCATCCAATAACAGGCTCAAGTCCGCTAAGCAACAGTCCAACCATCAATGCTAGTATAGTTTCCTCTAACAGCAACGTTGGGCTACCTACAGCTACACAGATGCCTTTTTCGCATAGCGACTCCTACATTCCATACCTCAGAAAAAGACGAACAGATGTTTCTGAGAATTCAGTCGACTCAAATACCGACAAAGGATTAAAATCTTGATATATTCTACATTATTATGATATAAAATATATGTATACTAGTTTACTATAGGGTTAGTGTGTTTTTATTAATAAAGTGATATTCAATAAGCAAAGTGAAACTGAAGCTTCATTTATCATGAACATGTATACAGGGTGATATGCGAATATTTAAGGGTGTGAATCTACATGAAAAATTAATGCTTTATAAACCATCAGCCAAAAATATTTCGTTACAAAAACTCGGGGTGTTGAAGTTTTAGGAAAAAAATGGACATTAATTAATATTTTCAGAACCGCTTCAGATATTTCACTGATATTTGGTACGTAGTGAAAGTTAATAAAGTTACATATTTTTCAATGCAAAAATAATTTTTAGCTTTAACAGTGGCGTGCGTACGGGTATTGACTTCGACATTTTTTAAGAAAAAAATGGTACGCCAACGGTTTTTCGCGAAATAAAAAATATTTTTGAATTTCCCATTCAATTTAAAAGAAATGATTTCTCTTGAATTGTTTTCTTGGGATGCGCCATTTTTGAGTAAAAAAATAAAAACCAATTCCGTCGGCCTGACTGTCTGTTCGCTGTACTCGTATATACAGGGTGTTTCAGTTTATTGTTGCAAAACTTCAAGATTCGATAGAACTTTTAAAATTAATGCATACAGTCCATATAAGCATGGGTCGAAAAATGCGTGGCTTCCGAAATACAGGGTGTTTAAATTTACTTTCTAAAATAGTTTTTTTTAAATATTTCGAACAATATTTGATGTATAACGGTGAAAAATGGTATACAAGGGTTTTTGGTACGACAAAACGAACCATGGGCATAGTTTTACTGTAGCCACTAGAGGGCGCTCTCTACTGTACCTGCAGTGTATTAAAATGAGCGAAAATTTTTTCTTAGTGCAATTTTTTGCTTTTTGAATAAAAAACTGAATCTTCGCAGTTTTCAACATAAAAAAGCTCTCCTGTGAATTTTCGTTATAGTTAGCCGTTTTTGAGATATTTCGATTTTTAAGGTTCGATGCATTTTTAATTATTTATGGGAAACTAATATTTTTTTTTTACATTTTCGATTTGGGCATTATAAGTAATTAAGATGATCGTTTAGATTGTGTTTTTAAACACAACAATAATTCCTAACTCCAAATAAACACAAAAAACAGAATATTAATTTGTTTAATTTTCCAATATTATTTTTAACAAATTAAATTAATTATTTACAACTAAAATGCTATTGGATAGTTAGGACAAACATACAAAATCTAAAGTAGTTGCTCAAAATGTAAACCCAATTGTTCAATACACAATTCACATCTACGAAAGATCGAACGTGGTATAGCATTATTCAAATAACGCCTTATTTCATCACATGCATTACTGATTCTGTCTATCAGCATATCTCTTGTGGTTACGGGAGTCTAGTACACTTTTTCTTTTAGAAATCCCCGCACAAAGAAATCTAATGGATTTAGGGCAGGGGATCGTGGAGGCCAGGCGACTGGTCCTCCACGGCCGATCCATCTTTCTGGATAATTTTCGTCCAGCCAGTTTCTAACTATTCTCGAATAATGAGCTGGACAACCACCAAGCTGGAACCAGGCCAATCTTCTTAAATCTAACATAACATCGTCCCACATATTTGCATGTTCAGCCTTTAAAAATTCCAAGAAGGTCGCAGCATTTAACCTTGCAGGCAAAAGGTAGGATCCAAATAGTCGATTACGGTAGATACCAATCCATACGTTCACACTAAATTCATGCTGAAAATTTCTTTCCCGAACTGCATGCGGATTTTCATGCGACCAAATATGTTGATTATGAAAATTTACCACTCCACGTCTAGTGAAGCATGACTCATCGGTCCATAAAACGTTACTTAAAAACTCCCTATTATTATCAGTTCTATCAAGAATTCACTGACAAAATGTGATTCTTCGTTCTCCGTCCCCTGGCTGTAGTCCTTACACAGGTTGCAAATGGTAAGGACGTCTATGGTCATTTCTAAGAACACGGTGAACATGGCTTGCTGAAATTCCCAAGGCACCAGAAACTCTCCTAACACTTGTGATCGGATCTCTATCAAACTTACCCTTTGGAGATTTCCAAAACCATTTTCAATTATTTGGCGATGCACTCTTACAAATACTGAGCGAGTTGGATGTCGGCTGTTTGGAAATCTTCGTGCGTATTCTCTGGCTGCTTCTGCTGCGTTTCCATTTACAAAGCCATACACAAAATGAATATCCGCTAACTCTTGATTGGAGAATAAAAATGGCATTTTTATAAAACTTACAAAAAAAAAACAGGTAAAAGAAACTAAATTTCGTGCATTTACAATTGCAAAAAAACGTTTCATGTTTCAACAGACAACAAAACTAACTGTCAACTAATTGACGTTTAACCTTATTCTGCTTTCAATTTCAAAAATATTTGCAGGCACAGCCTACTTCTGAAAATTATCGAAATACTGACTTTTTAACGTTATTTTATCATAAATAATTAAAAATGCATCGAACCCTAAAAATCGAAATATTTCAAAAACGGCTAACTATAACGAAAATTCACAGGCGAGCTTTTTTATGTTGAAAAGTGCGAAGAATCAGTTTTTTTATTCAAAAAGCAAACAATTGCACTAAGAACAAATTTTCGGTCATTTTAATACACTACAGGTACAGTAGATAGCGCCCTCTAGCGGCTACAGTAAAATTATGGCTCGTTTTGTCGTACCAAAAAACCCTTGTATACCAATTTTCACTGTTATACATCAAATATTGTTCGAAATATTTAAAAAAAACTATTTTAGAAAGTAAATTTAAACACCCTGTATTTCGAAAGCCATGCATTTTTCGACCCATGTTTATATAGACTTTATGCATGAATTTTAAAAGGGTCTATCGAATATTAAAGTTATGCTACAATAAACTGAAACACCCTGTATATGTATATTATAACTTGAGGAGTGGAATTTTGATGAAATTTTCAACAAGGTTACTACTATGCCAAGGACGAACAAGCGTTGTAGTTTTTGAAAATCGGTCTAGTGATGGCGGAACTTCGTTTTTTGACGTTTCAAATGCTCCAGAGCATTTTCGGACACTTTTTTGTAGCCGTTGAAGTTTGGTGTAACGTCTTCAGTATTAGTCAAAGACGGTCTATCATCAAGAAGCTTCACATCCCGGTAACAACGGTAAAATTAAATGATAAAAGTCCTTTGCATAGTATGTTCGTAATTCGAAACAATCGTTGGCGTTGCGGCATTCTAACTGGTCTGCGGTGGTTTCGTCACTGACTCACTGCTACAGGAAAAATATGAAAAACCGAAACAAGAAACTCTTTGCTCCTGAACCTAAAGAACTTTTCCCTTCTTCTGACCGTATTATTTCTATGATGTGTAGCATATCGTTGGAAAGGCAATAAATCACAGAAGTTTTGTAAGTAAAACTAGGTTTAAAAAAGTCGTTTTTTTTAGTCAAATTTTTAATTTGAAATTATTTGTTCACTCCACGTAATTGTACGACTTTTAAGGTCACAAGTCATTCGTTTGACAAAAATTTGCACAAACTACATATACTACATATATATGGGGTTGACGGAGGAAAGTAAACGCATATTAAAACAAGAAAGATTGATATTCAAATCAACTTGGGTACTTTATTTTGAAGGTTCATTTATACCATTTATGTATGAAAAATAATATCGCTCAAATGTTCACCACCACTGGATTTAAAGACGTCCACGCGGTGATCGAAATTTTCAATGACATTTTGCAACATGGTCGGTTCTATGGCATTTATCTCGGCAATTATGTTGTTTTTGAGTTCTTGGAGGGTGGCTGGTTTGTTGACGTAGACTTTGCTTTTCAAATATCCCCATAAAAAGAAGTCCAAGGGAGTCAAATCGCACGATCTTGGTGGCCATGGCACATTTCCTCTGCGCGAAATCACGCGATCACCGAAGAAGGACTGCAATCGATGGATATTGACGTTGGTTGTGTGGCATGTTGCACCGTCTTGTTGGAAATAAACATCGTCCATATCCATTCCTTCAAGTTGCGGCAACAAATAGTCCTCTATCATCACGTGATATCGCTCAGAATTGATGGTAACGGCGTCCCCGGCCCCATTTTCGAAAAAGTAAGGTCCGATGATGCCTTTTGACCACAATGCACACCACACAGTCACTTTTTGAGGATGCATCGGCTGCTCTTGATACTCACGGGGATTTTCGTTCGCCCAGATGCGGCAGTTTTGCTTGTTTACCGTCCCATTCAAAGTGAAATGCGCTTCGTCGCTGAACATGATTTTTGATGAAAAATTAGCATCAATTTGGCGGTGTTCAAGAAGCCAATCTGAGAACGTTCGGCGCGAAAAATGGTCGGCCCGACGCAGCTCTTGCGTCAATTGGATCTTGTAGGCGTGTACATTCAAATCCTTGTGGAGAATGCGGAGCAAACTGGTTCTCGAAATGCCCAATTCTTGGGATCGACGCGTTGTTGATTGTTTCGGATCGTCTCTCACACTCTCCTTCACAACAGCAATATTTTCCGGTGTGCGAACGCTCCTTGGCCGGCCAGAGCCTGGCAGATTTGCCACACAACCTGTTGCCTCGAATTTACGCACAAGACGACCGATGGTTGTTTCGTTTGGACGGTTGTTGCAACCGAAATGTTCACGAAGCGCGCGAAACGTGTTTTTTATTTTTGCACCATTTTTGTAGTGCTCTTGAATAACTTTAATGCGGCCTTCAATCGAATACGACTCCATAGCGATCAATGGTAAACATTCAACTAACAAAATGACATGTCGGTGACAGAAACAAAGATGACGTCTATGTCAAATTGACGTTTACTTTCCTGCATTCCTATTGGACAACCCTTTATTACAGAACAGATTCACCTTTATTTTGTGTCATTATCTCTAGAAACAAAAAAGTTATACCGATATTTATGCACAATTGTAGGTAATTCAGCAAAAAAAAAACCGATAAACGATCATTATCTCGGTAACCGTAGCCCTTAGAGCACTGAGGTTTCCATCAAAAATCATCAAATAGCGTCCCCAATCGCCAATTGGATTCATGTATCAAACACCCTGTATATTTGGATATTAGGGGTATC